GTACCTCAGGCCCCAACTGGATTCTCCCCCTTTGAGCTATTATATGGGCGCAACCCCCGAGGCATCCTGGACATAGCCAAGGAAATTTGGGAGAAGGAACCCAGTGAGGGGAAGAACATAATAGAGCATGTGCTACAGATGAGGGACCGGATAGCCCGGGTCACTCCCATAGTGAAGGAGCACCTAGAAAAGGCCCAAGAGGCCCAGCAAACCTACTACAATCGTCAAGCCAAGGTTCGTCAGTTTCAGCCCGGTGACCGAGTAATGGTACTGGTACCCACGGCCGAAAGTAAGCTGTTGGCCCAGTGGCAAGGCCCTATGAAATAGTTGAACCCGTAGGGGAAGTAAATTACAAGGTGCGACAACGGGGATGTCGAAAACTAGAACAGATATATCATGTCAACCTTCTGAAACCCTGGCATACCCGAGAGGCGTGCACGGTGGTTCGGGAAGACCTACACCCAGGGAACAAAAACCCTGGACAGGTGAGGGTGTCTCCCGATCTAACGACAGCCCAGAAGAAGTAACTGAGATGATCACCCAATATCAAGATGTATTCTCGACAAAGCCGGGTTGCACAACTGGGACATATCACATGGTCACAAACCCTGGGGCCAGAGTAACAATGAGGCCCTACCGGGTGCCAGCAGCCAAAAGGGAGGAAATAAAAGCGGAAGTCAGGAAAATGCTGGAGATGGGGATCATTGAAGAATCTCACAGTTAGTGGTCCAGCCCAATAGTGTTGGTGCCCAAACCCGATGGCACCACGAGGATCTGCAATGACTTCTGACGACTAAATGAGATAGCCCAGTTTGATGCCTACCCTATACCCCGCATAGACAAATTAGTAGACCGTCTGGGGAATGCCTGGTACTTAACGACCCTAGACTTGACAAAGGGGTCCTGGCAGATTCCCCTAGCTGAAGATGCAAAGGAGAAGATGGCATTCTGTACACCAGAGGGTCTTTTCCAGTGTACGGTCCTTCCTTTTGGACTACATGGGGCCCCAGGTACCTTTCAGCGCCTCATGGACAAGTTATTACGCCCCCATGCCAGCTATGCTGCGGCCTACTTGGATGACGTGGTGAGTCATACCCCAGACTGGGAAACCCACTTGAAGAAGGTGGGGGCGATCCTTGATACCTTCAGGCGAGCTGGCCTTACAGCAAACCCTGTTAAGTGTGCTGTGGGGTTCACAGAGGCCAAATATCTTGGCTACGTGGTAGGAAAAGGTCTGGTAAAACCTCAACTGAACAAGTTAGAGGCCATCCAAAATTGGCTACGACCAAGTAGTAAGAAGCAGGTCCGAGCAGTCCTCGGGGTGGTGGGGTATTACCGTCGTTTCATTCCCCATTTTGCCCCAAGGGCAAGTCCCCTAATGGACTTAGTGAAGGCCTGTGGTCCGGATCCAGTCAGATGGTCCGACACAGCAGAGAGGGCATTTGCAGACCTACGGACTGCCCTCTGCAGTAACCCCATATTGATAGCCCCAGATTTCACCAAGGAATTCATTCTTCAAACAGATGCATCCGAGGTGGGGCTAGGGGCTGTCCTGTCGCAGATGGCTGGGGAAGAGGAACACCCAATTCTCTACCTCAGCAGGAAACTCCTTCTGAGGGAACAAAAATACGCAGTGGTAGAGAGAGAATGCCTCGCAGTAAAATGGGCCATGGAAACGCTGCGTTACTACCTGCTGGGGCGCAGATTTGTCCTCGTGACCGACCATGCCCCTCTTCAATGGATGCAACGGAACAAGGAAAAGAACACAAGGGTAACCTGGTGGTTCTTATCCCTCCAACCTTTCCAGTTCCGCATACAGCACAGAGCAGGGAGTTGCCATGGCAACGCCGATGGCTTATCATGTGTACACAGTCTGGAGTCCCAAGCTGCCCAACCCCTTGGTGTTGAGCAGGGGGGAGAGATATGTGATAGACCCAGACCAATTGGGAACAGCAGAGTAGCAGAAGGGAGATATACTGGCCACTGGATAAGTAGTTTTCTGTTCCCTGAGTAACCAGAGCAGGGGCTGCTCCAGGCTAATAGACCACCTGACCCCTATTAACCTAAGAGTCAGGTGAGGCAGTTAAGCACCTGACGCTAATTAAGGCCCCTCTGATGCTATAAAAGGGCTCACTCCAGTCAAGCCAGGGGAGAGGAAGTGTGTGAGAGGAACTGGGAGCAAGAGGTGTGCAAGAAGCTGAGAGTGAGTAGGCGTATTGCTGGAGGATTGAGAAGTACAAGCGTTATCAGACATCAGGAGGAAGGTCTGGTGGTGAGGAAAAGAAGGTGTTGGGAGGAAGCCATGGGGAAGTAGCCCAGGGAGTTATAGGTGTTGTGCAACTGTACCAGGAGGCACTCTAAACAGCTGCAGTCCACAGGGCCCTGGGCTGGAACCCGGAGTAGAGGGCGGGCCCGGTTTCCCCCCATACCTCCCAACTCCTGATCAAACACAGGAAGAATTGACCTGGACTATAGCTTCTACCAGAGGGGAAGGCCTCTGGACTGTTTCCTGACCTACAAGATGAATCTGTGAAGCGAGCAAATCCGCCAATAAGCGCAGGACCCACCAAAGTAGAGAAGGAACTTTGTTACACAGTATAGCATCCTCTGGCAACTTTGAATTATTCTTTAAAAAATATATCTTGCAAAGGCATGAAAAATCCTTGACTGTAGAACAGTGGCTCAGTCAAACTTTTAAATTTATTTTTAACTTTTTCAGAGAACTAGTTTTTATATGGTGTTCTCATAGTTTTGATGTTTGATTCAAAAGGAAGTGCTTGCCTTGATTAATTCTCATATTGATTCAATTCTGAATTAAAAAAAAACACAGCCCACAGTCCCAACAATAACTACACAGAGCCTTGAGATTTTTAAAACTGCTGAATCATTTAGGTGACAGCTGAATTATTGTATAATATAGGGTTGACAAGTAGAGAGACTACACTGCTATTCTAGCAATTGAAGGTTTTGATTTTTTGTTTTACACTGGCGAAGATACATCCTTCACAATTTAACAATAGTAAAAAAGAAATAGTCAAGTAGAATTGAAATTAAAATAATTACTTTGAACTGAAATAGAAATATTTGAATTTAGCAATTAATTGGAATAAGCGGACATAAAGTAAATTTTTAATGTACTGTAGGCAATTGTCTGCAAAGATGCATGAAACAACCATGTTTCCTTGATCTGGCTGGGATTTATTTAGCAAGTAAGAATTTTAATTTAATGTGTACTGGCTAAGATAACTAGTTGTCTGTAGGGTCAAGGTACTGACATCAGAGGCATTTCTGAACAAAGATGTTGCAGTTGGTGGGTGGATGGCACTGCTTTCAGCTGTTGTATGAGCTTGCATAAATAGTATCTCAACTTTAATCTTTCGGGTGTTCAGAGGTAGTGTGCATATTTCCATTTAACCCCTGGACACTTGCCGGCATGTATGACCCTTTAACAATTCCTGTCCCTCTGTCCATCCTTGGCACCTTGGCTCCAAACAGTCTAGGAGTAAAGCCAGTAACTTTTTGAAGTTGTAACTGTGTTGGGTACATCTATTAAGCAAAAATATTTTCATTTAATTAATACAAGGTGTCTGTTATGTTTCCTGTGTAATATGTTGAACATTTGTGAAATGTAATTTACCTCCCCAGTACAAGATGTTTTCTTTCCTTTTGTGTGTGGTGATCAATCATGGTAAAATATAGGGGAAATGAGAACTGAAAAAGATGATTAATGGACTTCGGTATCAAGAGTAAAGCTTGTTTTTTGTTTTTTGGGTTTTTTTTTTTGCAAAAATCAATTGTTTTTGCAGCATATTTCAGCAAAGAAGAGTGTGGCCTTGACTTGTATTTTAGGATAACACACCTCTTTTAAGTAGCTTATCTATTAAAAACTTTTGAAGTATTGACTCTTATCTTACATTTTGTGAGTGAGAAAAGAACAACTAGGGCCCAATCTGATTAGAGCCTTTGGGAGCTACCTCAATATAATGACTGATATGTTTTCTGCAGTCCTACAAGCTTTCTGTGTTTCATGAACTGTAGTTGGCAAGGTACTTTATTGTGGCTTGAATATCTACTTCTGTCAGTAGGGAATCATCTGTCAATCTTCAAGCAGTGATACTTTCTGCTAATTCTGTCCCAGTTCTGGACTTTTTTTTAGAGATGGGGGAGGGAGTTTGGACTTTGGAGGTGCTTTTTTGACTAGCTATATCTCATTCTCTGTCTCTTGGTATAAATTTAATTTACACCAACAGACACCAACATGGGAAAGTAACAAACACAAAGGAGGGTCAAAGCAAACTGCAAAGTGACCTGGATAAATTAGACAAATAGAGGCAACAGGAAGCTGAACCTTTGCTAGTGGTAGGCTTAGTACGTACTTAAAAGCTATGTTGGCATAGCTTGGAAATAAAAAGCAAAACACCCCATGCCAACAGAAACCTCAACGTAGATGGGCCTATGTTGATGGAAGAGGGCTTTTGTCGACATAACTAACGTCATTCAGGGAGGTGGTGGTGTTAAACCAACAAACTCCTGTATGTGTAGGCTGAGTCTACACTAGGGCTGTGCTGTCATAGCTAAGCCAGCATAGGCACCATAGGGTAGACATACCCGTAATGAACGTAAAGCCTTAAGCACAGGGAAGGAACTAAACAGCATGTATGGAAAATGGGTTGAGCTAACCAAGCAGAAACATGATTGTCTGAAAGCAAATTTGTTTTCATCCTGTGTTAATACTCTAATATTACTTTTCATGTTACCCAAGTACTAAAGTTCCCTCGGAGAAGGTGTGGAATTTGTACAGGGAGAGATGGCGCATCCAAGGAGCTTTACTTTAAGCGCTCCAGAATCTGAGGAAAGCTTGAGCTACTGCTCTAGTTTGTGTCATAAGATGGCTGAAGTAACTGAAGTCCATAGAAATATTCTAAGAAGATAACTTAAACTGCATCTTAAGCAGTATTACCTTATTGAACAACTTTTAATTTATATTATTTCTTATATAGCAAACTTTGGCCTGTTCCATTTTAACGGCTTTGTTGAGTGAGTTCTCAAGTTCAAGTAAAACCAGCAACATTGGACTAAGCATGGAGTTCCATGGTAACTGCAAACGAATATTTCAGGTAAAAAAAAAAACTAACGTATGCTAACTATATTTCTGATAAATAGAAATGTTAATAAAGGAAAACTTTCATGCACCAACAAATGCATTAACAATTTTGGTATGTGCAAAAGACTCCTATATATTATAAATTAATACTAAATACATACAAAGTATGTATTAATTCCTTGTTTAGTGAACATTTTAGTAATTTTAGGAATATTTGTTTCAGAAAGTGTAATGCATTTTTTGTCCATTTTATGAATGTAGATCTATGAATCTATACACAGTAGGAATCTTAACTCCCTGTCTACCAATAGCAAATAAAACTAATACTCTTTGGAACGATGATAGTCTTAAATATAGCTTTGGTTAAAAGCCAAGGAAAGCCATGCATTTAAAAATATTATTGCAGATGGTGCGGTCTGGTTGTCTCAGATGTATTGTTTGGCTATGGATAAACGTTTTTGTGAAGGCATAGCTTTAAGTTCTGTGACTGTTGTGGAACAGCTTATCAACTTCTTCCATGCCAAAGACCAAATCCCTCCTCCTCTACCAGTTGTTAGAAAAATGTATTACCAGTTTTTTCTCTTAATGACTAATATTTATAATTAATAAGATTTAAGCTTTTTTTTTTTTAAGTGTTACATTGTGTAGGTAAAGGCCTTGTTTCTGTAAAAATGTTAGAAATGTTCCAAGTTAATGCAAGAATCCCAGATTTTGTAAATAAAATTTAATTTTATTATTTCTTACTATTTGCCTGATCAAGAACTTCTTACTTCATGAATGGGAGACTCCATTAATAGTATGTATTCTTCCTAACACTAGGAGGATGACCTTCGGCAGATCTTCATGCTAACAGTAGAGGTACTACAGGAATTCAGCAGACGTGAAAACCTCAATGCTCAGATGTCTTCAGTGTTTCAGCGTTATCTTGCACTAGCCAATCAGGTCTTAAGCTGGAACTTTCTTCCTCCAAATTATATCCTTTTAATGTTTGAACCTTTGCTTCAGCTAATTAACTTCACCTGTACTTGATAATTGGAGCCTTTGAAAAATGTAACATTTAGAGAATTTTTTTTTCAAGTGGGGGTAATTTAGACCTTGCTATGTACTCTATTGGTCACTCCCATACTTGCTTATATTTACTATATATTCAAGTTGTTACTGCTGTTTTCTCTTTAAAGTTGTGAGTGTTTGTCACAAGGTTAAAATTAGCTCATAGAAGCAGCAGCTAGTTATGGGCTGCTGGACTGTCTAGCAGATGTCGGGATGGTGCAGAGTGGGAACTTTCATCTACTGCTTTAATATGAGACTAGGCAGAACCAGCAGGGATAGATCAGAGCTCTTGTTTTTCTTATAAAGCTTCTCACTGTGGATCTATCACCTCCTTCTCTCCACCAAGAAAAGGGGAGGGTGATGTAGAACTAACACCCTCCAAGAATTACCCCCTCTCTGGCTTCTTTGGGAGCTAGAAGAGAAGTTCTGTACTACTTTTTCCATGAGCAGTAGAAAAGCGTTTTAGGATCCCACCAAGAAAAGCATTTGCCAGAAGGCAGGGAGAAGAGACTGCACCTGGTACACTACCCCTTCCTCCTGACAACCTACAGGTTGCCTTAAGACGGTCCCTTAGTCCCTCATTCCTGTGTGTGACAGGTTGCTGATCTTGGGATCCCAAAGAAGTGGGAAGAGAGTAAAGAAGAAGAGGGACTATAATGCAGGGAAGAGGCATGGAGGGAGGGGGAAGGAATGAGAGAAGAGAGGAATAGAGATGCCTATATATATATATATATATATATATATATATATCTCACACACACACACACACTCACAAAAAAACAGTATAGATATAGTAAACCACACTCT